ATATTTGTATAACGTAGCAAGCTTCCAAATTTGCTGTTGACATTCATTCATGAATGGCTGCTGATGATGATGACAGTTAACTTAAATTTGGAGAACAAGCAAATACTACTACACCCAGCCAAACCAAAAACCAACTTCAATCACCATAATCGTTGTCGTTATTGTTTTTGTTGTTGTCATTATCATCATAACTGTCATATTGCCGTGATTTTATTATCAAAAAATAACAAAAACAAAACTTGTTGATTTAGTTGATTTCTATATTGACATAACCCACCATCCAGCCAACCAGGCAGCCAGCTAGCAATCGCGTGTTGTAGGCTGCCAGAACAATTGGTATTGTTAAACCAAAAACCAAACCCACCACTACCCACCATCATATCAACCAAAATGTCTAAATTGATTGGTTATTTTTGCAACGCCCGCCAGCCAGCCCGCCCGCCACCATAACCACAAATCAATTTCAATAAAATATTCAAAATTTCTTAAATTGGTGCAAATTTATGAAGATATGATTGTATTATTCTGAATTGCTTTTGTTATTCGTGTTTTGTTGTTGTATTATGACAAAACTACAAATTGGATAAACGATAATTTTATTGTGCGACATAAACACGAACATTGAAAGATAGACAACAAATAAATATGTTTATTATAATTTTATAAAACCAAAAAAACAAGAGTAAGAGGACAATTCAGGTGCGAGTAGGATTAAGCAGAGCTGATATTGACGTAAATAACGAAGAAATATAATTTCTTAATAAAAAAATAAAGGAAATTTTCAAAATTTCCATAACACAAGATTTGATGTTTCGCCAGGCATCTATATCATACAAAAGATCAAAGGTTATGTCATGTTCAGATGGGGATTAACATCATGTTTCTATATTGATAGAAGTTGAAAAGTAGATTTCTATATGTTTCTATATGCGGCACGAATTGAAGATTGTTATCGGAAAATAATTCCGAGGGAGAAATAGGAGCCAGCAATTTGATTGGTTTGTACATCAATACATGGTATTTTCCAACATCCAACACGAATTCTAATATTGAAAATTAGTTGGTTTTTATAAAAAAAAAAACAAAAGCACTTCATAATTGTACCAATTTCCACAACAAATAGGGTACACAAGGTACGAAAACTTCTCAGGTGCGAGTAGGATTAGGGCAAACAAGGTACAAAAAAGTCTTCCTTCAGCAATTGTTTTGATATATATTTTTCAACAATATTTACAAATTTCAATAATTTTTCATTCAAAATTTTCAATTCCAGAATTGGTTTGACAGTTCATTGTCCCTGCAGCTGTGTCGACGCGACTACCTTTTTTCTTCTATCATGCAAAAGATCAACAATTATGTAGTGTTCAGACTGGGCCCAACATTTTACATTGGTAGAAGAATAAAGGAAAGTGCATCAACGCTTGGGAACATTAATATGACAAAAATTTTCAAAATGTTTTTACAAAAATAGGTTGATTTTTATATGTTTTCTTATACCACACAAATCGGAGTTTTTATGATATGCATTTTTACAAATTTCAATAATTTTTCATTCCAATTTTTCAATTTCAAAATTGGTTTGACAGTTCATTGTCAGCTGGCAGCTATGTAGATTCGACGACCTTTATTCTTCTACCATTACATTTATTTTCTTTTAGGCTATATTCATTATCACAAACATAAACAAATTTTAGGGTTTTGTTTATACTGTCAAATTAATCAAGATTAAGTGTTAAATTTAAAGATAGATAAAATTTGGGAGAACAAATTTAGTTCAAATATTTGCCCAGTGTGAACGTTTGCCTTAAGGCTTATACCCCCTTCTCAGTTGTGTAAACACAGGGCAAGCTCAGAATTACAGCTTCACAATCTGAACGTATTTTAAATAATTGCAAATGTTTTTTTAAATCTATTTTGGTTACTATAATATTTCATGATGTATGCATATCCAAAAATATTTATATCCGGTTCAACTTTTCCATCTATTTATGATATTCAAAAAACAAAAATCCCGTAATTCATACATCACAAAACAATTTTTTTTTCTTTTAAGTTGCGTATGATTTAAAAATAGAAATCCATACAAAATTCCAGAAATTTGAATAATTCTGCCCACCTACGGATAACATCTGTGTAGGCTCAGAATTATTAATTATTTACGAGCTGACAAATTAAGAGTGTATCATTTAATAAAAAAAACAAACACACAACGCAACCACAAATCATGGCGTATGAAGCATGACATTCAAAATAATGACAAGAAAGCTTATTAAAGTAAACAATAAACATGTCATTGGGCATTTTTTTTAATCCGCACTGAACAATCAGTTTCAAAAGCAATTAGCGTTAACATCATATGCATGAATTATAGAATACAAATATATCAATATTTTTTGAAAAGAAATTCCTAAGACATAGTTTAGAAAGGGGGGTACTAACTTTTATAAGAAATAGAGAATAAGGTTTTGAAAGGAGAAAAAGTAATGTCTAATTATTAAAATACAAATAGAAAATTTAATTCCTCCTTAAATTTATTCACAGTTATTGCTCCTGGTTACAATTTCTCCTTCGAACAGTTGCGTGTTTCTAGTTGTTGTTTCATACTTTTATGGGTTGTTTATTAATCAACAACAAAGGAAGAGTATATTGCAGAACTTTAATGAATGAAGCGTTGAAAGCTAATAAGTATGTGTGTATTAGATAACCATACAAACGAAAGCCGTGGCATATTAACTCTTTTATATTCTCTAATACACTGTAGGATCATCTTTCAACCTATGGTTTCAAAAGATTTGCAATCTAAACCTAAGGCAGGTAATGTTATAGACACGTCCACATTTCTAGATGACCATGGTTTCTAAGGTAGGTGCTATTTTTGGGTTTAAAACTGGAAACTATTCGTCTTTTTTTGAGCAGAATATTCAACTGCCCCATAAATTGTCTACTTCACTAATTAATGGTTAAGTTAAGCCCCCCCTTGAATGTTGTGAAGAACTTTAATAATTATTCAACAATTAAAACTTAATTCAAATTAATCAAAGAAAACATACGACGAGCCTTCATTAAACAAACTATCACAACAATCAAACTACAGGAAGAACAACAAATATTATCACAACAACATTATTATTCCATATTTGCATGTCACAACACAAACTCCCATTAGTTTCGCCAATAAAATTTCCAAACTAACCCCCCACCACCCACTCCCCGCAAACAACAAAATGCGGAAATTTACGAAAAACTGTCGAACAAACGATAAAAGTAAACATTGCTTTCAGTTGCATTTCAATGTTCCGTCATGACATTAGACACAACGGAAACGGATATTAGTGAAGTGTAAAAACAAGAATCACAAAAATCGAAAGAACGGAAAATCCAACAACAAAATGCCGCGCAAAAAACCTAAAGTGGATACAATTGAAGAAATCGAACAGAATATTAAGCTATTTTGTGATCAATCGAAAAATCACATGAAATCGAGAGAATATGAAAAGGCATTGATAGGCTATAATCAGGTAAAATTTATATGAATGTAAAGAGTTTTAACTCTCTCTCTTCAAAACAAAAGGTTGTTTTAAATTAAAAATAAAACATGAAAGAAATGTGAAAAATGTGTAAGATTCATCAATGAGCAAAAATAGAAGGAGAACTTAAAATTAAAAAAAAAATAAATCAGACCAAAAGGCTCCCCACTCACCATAAATCTTGCCTTACAACCGATGATTGCCTAACGATTTGCCTGAATAGTGTGTGACAAAATCTTCAATTCCTATATACAAATTTTAAATTTTTACCAAAAATATTTTTAATGCAATTTTTATGCGCAAACAGCCATTGCAATCAATGTTCAAAAATTTGTTATTGATAACATTAAAAAAAGAAATTCATTTTTCGGATTGAATGCATTTCATTTTCAAAATTAAAAATATTAAATGAAATATATTATAGAATCCAACAGTTATCATTTCACAGTGAGTAGCACAGAAGCCGAGTTACCATTACCATGTTGTTTCGTGTTGCCAACCATTGAGAAATACGTAGCACAGACACAAATGAATAGTGGCGACTCTCACCTCTCTACAGGGATGGACATTTCTCTTAACGGAAAACTAAATCTTATTAACTTTATTTTAGTTTAAGGTCAATTGAAAAACATCAGTGTTTTATTTTTATAATTTTGATTTTTATTTTCCGATATTTCGACTGTCTTCGACAGTCATCTTCAGGGAAAAAATTTTTATTGAGAAAAGCAACAGACGGTGAAACAAGACTGATGTTTTTCAATTGACCTTAAGCCAAAATAAAGTTAATAAGAAACAATATACAGGTCAACAATAAAAAACAACAACAGGAAAACTAAATCATTTAAAATATTTAAATGAGATTCATTTAGAAATCTAAGTAATTCTGGATGTTATTGTGTTTTCTAGCCTCTAAGAATCTAAACAGGTAAAATATATTTTCTTCACTATCATTTATAAGAATATTAATATAATTAATAAAAAAAACTCTTATTGGAGAGAGGGACCATGTGTTGTTCAATTTGCCTTAGATTTTGCATATCAACGGTGAGCGACATATAAGAAAACGCCAATCAAGAGAGATGCCAAAATTAACGTTTTCGCGCTTTTTGTTTACTTCTGCAGTATTTTCCCCTTCCAAAATTAGTTTCTGCGGTTCTCTTCTGTGAAATTAAAAAAAATGGAAAAAATGGGAATCAAAGTGAGTACACCGACCTTCCCAATTGACCTATAAAAAAATACATTATTTTGAATTTATTGCGGCCTCAGCAAATCAAAAATTATTTTGTTTGGAAAAACAAAACAATATTTTTAACATTCCACCACCCACCACCCAAATTGTCTTTCATAAAAATGTTTAGTCAAAGAGATATGTTCTTTGTGTTTCCACAAATTCCATAATGTCCAAATTAAAATCTCTTAACTCATTTTGCATTTTACCCACCACAAATATAAAAAACACATAAGACATTCCATTTCAAACAACGAAAAGGTGTCATGTGTGGTTTTATATCGATGATTCTTATTCTATCAATATTGCAAATAGTTTGGTAGCCAAGCAACCTATTTATAACAGAAAAGTAGTTGATTGAACAAAATACAAAGCAGATTGAAGATTTTAATTTTAACACCTTCAGCCGTAGCAAAATTCATTGAAAATGTCGAAAGTTTTAAAAGACTTTTTCGATATTGACAAAGAGCAAGAGTTACTACAAAGTTTTACTCGTCTAGGAGTTCCTTCTGATGATGATGTCAACGAAGAGGCCACAAAGGAAAAAAAGAGCCGAATTGTGGCCATTAAAGTCAAGGCAGCCAGCCGGGATACTCGCCGAAAACAATCTGTGAAATTTAATGATGACACCGATGGCCCTGTAAAGGGCCAACATCAACGCATGAATCGCATTGAGGCCGAGCTAAGGGCTGCCCGCAAACGTAATGAGGAACTTATGCAAAAACGTAAAAAGCCCAAGGAGAATTTCGTTGATTTCTATACGGACAAGGACAGGGCAGCAGCTGTTAGCGCTGGGGCATTCGATATTAAACAAAGTTTGCAAATAAAACAAAAACAGGATCGAAGCGAATCTTTGATGATACCTGATGAGGGTGATATCAATTCAATTATTGCCTTGGGTTTGAAGGAAATTAAAAATGCCAATCCTGAAAATGCCATACATTTCTTTTCCAAGGTTGTTTGTAAGGGGTGGGGGAGGGGGTCACATTCAAATTCACAATAATGTTTTGTGTTTGTTTTTATTTTCAGGCTCTGGAACTCAACAGCACCGATATTAATGCCTTGGTCTCTCGCAGCAAGTGTTATCTACTTCTGGGGGAGGCATCCAAGGCCCTGCTGGATGCCGAAACAGCCTTGAATGAAGATAAAAATAATATACGAGCTATCTATCAAAAAGCTGAGGCCTTGTATTATTTGGGACAATTCGAACAGAGTCTTATGTACTTCCATAGGGGCGCCCGAGCCCGACCAGAATTGAATTCCTTTCGTTTGGGGGTGCAAAAAACCCAAGAAGCTATTGAGAATACAATTGGCGTTAAGAATAACAACAACAAACCCAGTACCAGTAAAGCTAAAAAATCCAACGATAATACCCCCAAATCCCAGATGAATAGCAGTAGTGCAAGACCTATCAGGGCAAAGCCCACCAAGTTGGAATTGGAACGTCGAAATGCCCGAAAACTTTTGGGTGAATTGTGTGTGGATAAAGAATATCTGGAAAATCTATTAAAACATCCCGATCTGATAAGAGCCGATACGAATACTGAGAATATTTCAACCTATGCCAAGGAGGCGGTGGATTTCCTAAACAAACGTCAGGAGTTTTGGCGGCAACAGAGACCGTGCAATGCCTTGCCGAATCAAAAGAATTTGCCAATGGATGCAATGCCAAGATGGTTTTAAAGTTATCGCAGGGTTGTTTCTCTGTATGTGTGTGTTTATTAGTTTGTTTGTTTTTATTATTCGTTTTATTGATTGCTGTTATATAATTTATAAGTTTATATATAGTAGATGTATTTGTATTTAGCATTTTAACATTTATTACATACTGCATTTTGTTGATTAAGGAGTGAGTGTTTTTTTCTTATATCCGTTACGACACCAAAATCTATATCTGTGTTAACCATATACATTAAATACATAAATATAACATGATAACATATGTATTAGCCATTCGCTTTTATTGCAATAATAATCGTAATAATAATAATAATAATGTTCCTACATAATTCGTAATATAATTAATGGTTTGTTTGTTTAATCAGTTGTAATAATTATTATTATTATTTGTGTTATTTGAATATTATTATTAATTATTATATAGAGTGTTCATCATCAGTGTACTACATTCAACAGACAACTTTAAAATTTCTCAAATAAAACGTTAACGATAGAAATTTCTTTGTTTTTTTTTCAATATTTTTGTTAGGTTTACTTAGGCGAGTTTGTAATTTGAATAGTTTGTTTGGTTTTTTGTGACGAATTGATGTGGTAAGTTTGGTAATTTTAATTTTTTTTATAATAAATTTTCACCACTGCAATTTGATAACAAATCTAATAGATCATTTGATGATATATAATAGGAGCGGTGTATGTGGGTACTACAATGAATAAAAAAGGGGAATAAAAGAGCCAACTAAAGAGAAATGTTGAGATTCAAAATGCTGTGAATCCAGTCGAATTGGGTCGACAGCAATGTGATCCATATATTTATGTTTTCATTTTGTTTCAGGTTCTATTTTTTATACCCACCACCGTAGTGGTAAATTAAGTCTGTCATTCCGTTTGTAACACTTTATATATTTTGGAGCAGCAAAAAATTATATGTCGGTTTAGCGATGTCCGTCTGTGAAAATCACTTTGGCTTCCGAACGAAATTAAGTTATTAACCTATTTCATTTCGTTCGGAAGCCAGAGTGATTTCCACAGACGCACATCGCTAAATCGACATAGAATTTTAAGCTCAAATTATACTTAAATGTATATTATGTCTGCAGAACTTATGGTATTGAAAATGGGCCATGTAGGCCCACGTTTTGATATAGCCCCCATATAATGGTACCTCCCTATCTTCGGTATTATGATAATTTTAGCTACATTATTCATCGATTTTTTTCAAATTTCGCATTTGAATATTGTAATGGCTTATGACAAAAGTTGCCTATGCAGGTCCACGTCGTCTTATACAGGGTAAGAAGAAAGGACTGCAACCAACTGCAGACTACTGTCATTTCTAAGCCACTCATCCGACAGCTGACAGTTAAAATTATCCCATTGACAGCTCATTATATTGTTTGCAAGCGAGTATTATCGCGAAAATATTCTGGAGGGTGTATTAAAACCTTAGGCACGCAAATATTGTGGTCGCAGACCTTGGACATTCTAACAGGACTCAGCACCATCGCACTCAGCACGTGCCACCCAAAAATGGTTGCAAAATGAGGTTCCTCGCTTCATTTCCAAAATCTCCGGATACCAATCCATTGGACAATTGTATCTGGAGTATTTTGAAAAGAAACGTTGGCACTAAAAAATACCAAAGTGCACCTAGCACCTCAAGCAAGCGCATATGGTGGAGGGTATTCAAAGTTTGGCCCGGCCGAACTTATAGTTCTTTTGCTTATTTTCTTTTTGGATGTGGGAGCAGGAATGCAATGTAGGATGTAGGATTGATTGAAATTTCTTTGTTCTTGCTTTTAACAAATGTGAATCCATATGGAATATTGCTTTAATTGCTTTTATTACAACTGAGATGCCACGAGTGGTGGAAAATGTACTAAGAAACTTTAAATAAGACAAAGGCGGCCAATTTTACATGAGCCAAGATCAATGCACTTTATTGGAATCGAGACAACATAGCAAAAGCAATCTAAAGCAACAGCAATTATTCATTAATTAGCAAAAATATCTTTCGGCGGCTTCGACGCCTAAAAATATACTCTATCTTTCTCAACAGTCTCCCTTGACCAAAATTGGGTAGATCAGTATCATCAAAGCATATGATGAAGAAAACCATGAATATATTGGCATCAACGGGACCAACAAAACGGGACAAACAATTCGATAACGACTGTAGTGATCCGCGTAAACTACATTACTCGATTACTACAGTACTCGATTTTGACTGCGGTGATTTGGCCCCAGGTCGAAATTTTGTGTAAAAAATTTAACTGCATAGTTTCAGGCTTTTTTCCTGAGAATTTATACTCGGACAATTAGTAACAATGGGGTAAAAAGAGGGGGGAGAAGGCAAAAAAAGAAAGTATATGGAAAAAAGCGTACAAACAAGTATGTGGTGTTAATTTGCAATATGCCAATCATTATTATGTTTTTTCGTTTTGTTTTTAATGCTTACACCTATAATACATCATAAACGACCAATGGAAACTGATCACAGTCCCTGTAAATAACGTAACATTATATTTCCTTGTATTTTAATTTTAAATTTCATTCCATTATAAATATTATTTTGCTTTTTTTATTCCAATTGGACATTTGACTAGTTTTTGTTTATCTTTTATTATAATTGTTACAGCTATTTAATACTTTAGCATAAACTTAATTGTTTAATAGAATATTAGTTTATCTCTTATTTTTGTTTTATATTATATTTTTTTAGATGTAAAACAGCACATACGAGTATGTGTATTAGACGTGAGATGTGATAATTTGTTCTATTCTATGTTACTTTGATTCTTCATCTTCTTCTTCAACAAAAAATAAAAAGAATGTTTGTCTTGTGTAAGCGTATTTAGGTATGAGCTAGTTTTCATCGTCATTTGCACTAGTTTACTTTTTCTTTAAAATTATTTCTGTTTTTTTTTTAGATTGCAATAACATATATTGTGTGTAGTTGTAGTAGTAGTAGTGGTGATGTGTGGTGGTGTGTTTTTTTTTTTTATATTTTTCTGTAAGGAACTCCTGAGGACCCTCATGTTAATTAGTAAGCTATTGACTTGGTAGTTCCTGTGACCATTAAATAGTTAAGTTTAATGTTTGAATTGCAATTGCAAATGGTGTAGGAAGTTTTTTTTATCAAACCTCTTTCAGCTTATCTTCTTGGTGAAGATAATGGAATATTATTTACTTCCTTGGAATGTTTAAATTTTCCTCTCGCTTTTTATATTTGTTGTTATAAGCAAAGGCTCTACTACTTACTGTTTGTTTGTTGTTTGTTTGTTTTGTATATGCAATTTTCACTTAAGTACAACGGCTGGAAATTCAATTGTTGTTCGGTCGATTGGGCAAGGGGGGCGCACCACCTACACGATTTGGAATTGGCGGTGGTCCGCGTCGAACTGGAAGTGGTGGTGGAGGTCCCATCGGTGCATTTGCCGGCAAGGCTGGTGGTCGACGTTGTGGACTTTCGTTGACAATGTCACTGGGCACGGGAGGAAATGGTGGCGGGGGATGCCTAGGTGCTGGTATGTCATCTTGGATCTCCTCATAAATATTGCTATCGTTGTAGGCCGCAGCAGCAACAGCATCCTGCACATCAACCGATGACTGTTTGGATTGACGCGAAGGTGTTGATACGGGTGTTACATTTTTGCTTTGCGTATTACGTGGTGGCGTTGGCGGCAATGAACTGGCATTCGATCCCGTGCCTACGGGTGATGTCTTGCCCGATGAGGAGTGTAGTGGTGAATTTTGTTCCGTTGGCGATTGCGACTTCGAAGAAGATGGAGTATCTACCACCGAATTCACTGGGACTGGTCTTAGTGGTGGTGGCAATTGTGGCGGTTGTTGCGGCTGTGGTGGCATGGGTGGTTTGGCCGGTTTGGGTTGCAACATCTCGGGCACCACACTTATAACACCGGCATGTGGCAAATGTCTTGGTGAATTCTTTGGTGACATTGGTATTGGAGGTCGCGCCGGAGCTGGTCTTGCTGGTGGTTGTTTTGGTCTCTGGGGAATTTCAGGTGTAGCGTTCAACAACGAAGCTTGTTCCTGGGGATTGGCACACAATGGAATGGTATTCGTTGTGCACAACTCTATTTCATTGTCCACGTGACGCATCCAGTCAGGTGACTTCAATTCAAATTTCAAATGTAGACCACAAATGCTGGTTTCTCCCTTGGCCACCACATTCAGGGCCGACTCACCATCGCGAAAGGTTACCCACATGGTATCCTCAACATAACGTACCAATGTCACTTCACCCATCTTCGACAACTCTTGAATTAGGGTAGACATAACATTTTCGTCGTAAATTGTGGGACCTTCATCATCGGCCGAAGGTTCATGAACATGGACCACTATTGTGGAATCTGGAGGACCCAAATCTTTTATGACCTCTTCGAACACTTTCCTTCGGCGTCGCGGATCAATTACAATTACTTCAGCATCGATTATAGCAATTACAGGGCGATGATCACTTTGTTTAAGCTCGGATCTTCCATAATGGATTAGTTTGCCGGGATTCCATTCGGCGGCATTATAATCTGACTCTGCCAAGGCCTTACGTCGGCGCCACAGTACACGATCTGTCCAGGCAGGAGCTCTTTGCTTTTCCGATGTATCGTATTCATCGCTAAACACATCATATTTGTACGTGGGATCGAATGTTATTTCGCCCTCCAGGAAGTCGGTGAATACATTTCCTGTCTCCTGTTCCTTCAGTAATTGATCGTTTTCTAGTACAGTGGCCAAATCACCATTCTTTATGGCCTCCTTTAATTCCTCCTTATCCATATCAATGCGATAGTTGAAATCTCCGCACCAGAATACCCAGTCATGCGATTTCAGAGTACGACCCATGGGGAAAGCCAATTTACGAGTAATTTCCGCATAGTCGGCATTACGTTCGGCCACCTGGCTTTGTCCGGCTGCAAAGTGGGCACACACAAAGCACATTGAGGTGCCGTGGAATACAAAACGTATAGCACATGCTCCCTTATTGCCAGTTGCTCCACCTAAACCTGTCTTCACGCAATCAATGGCCACATCTCGAATATACGAAGCGTGTTCGGGTCGTATGTAGATGTACAGGCAAACGCCCACAAGTTGCTGATAGGTTAACAACACATAGTCATTGTCTCGCGATATGGTTTTTTGTAGTTCTTCGGCCCAGAGTTTGGCATTTTCCGTACTAGCCGCCATAATGTTGCTGGCATTTAAATCGACAATTTCCTCAAAGCCAATGGCAAATATATCAACAGGTTTGCCAGCATTCTCCGATGGATTATTGACATCGACTAATGCTTTTGAGCGTGCTAAGGCGTGACAATCAAGCAGCCAATCTGAAAGGGTGTCCTTAAAGACAATACTGCGAAAATGTTTGCCACCGTTTACGTTGTACGTTCCCACAGCTACGCGCACAGTCTGGGGCTGGACATATTCATTGTAGCGTTTACACATTTCGCGCAAAACCGTAGTGGGGGCATGCAGCATATTGGAAGGCAATAGGATTCTTGCCCGATCGGCCAACTCGGAACTAAGCGTTGAGCCCACCAAAAGTATATCAATGGCTTCCTGTTCAGCGGAAAAAATAAACAAATAATAAAACTCTCGTGGAAATACTTCATTTTCAAGGGTCTTACCTGCTTGGAATTATCCAGTAAATTGTTTTGAATGGTACGGGCAGCTGATCGGGCACCATCCATTAGTTTTGACGAACCCTGAATAGCTCCAGTGCCGGCATAGATTTTACTGACCTCATTGCCATTGTTTATCCACATTTGTTTGAATATCTCCTCGAATCGTGTAAAGTTTTTCTTTTCGCCAAAACCCAAAGCCTCTAGTTGTATATTCAATGTATCCAATCCCAGGAATGTTTGTACACAATTTGTACGATCCAGACAATCTAAACAGTTGGTTCGTATAACTCCGAATTGTTCGCGAACAACTTTTCCGGCGGCAGCATAAAATATGCCATAGTTTATGCCGCAAGCGGTTATACGTTCTTTTAGCTTAGACAGAGCAGCAAAATTTCCACCACGACACTCCTGATGATAATCAAATATGATGTGTGGTACATCCTTATGGGCAGACATTCCATGATGGCGCTGGAATTCATTGCTGAGCATGGCCTCGCCTTCTTTGCTGCCAACCAATGAGGTGCCCAGAAGATTGATAATGGCCTGATAACCATATCGTTGTTTCATCAAAGACATGTGGCGATCAAAAGCAGCCGCCGAGGTCTCAAATCCTCGCGAAAGCTTAACTTTGTGAGAGCCAACTTGAACGCCAGGTTGTTCCCAAAAAAGTGGAACCGAGCCGCGTGTCTGCACATAGCTCGTCACATCATTGTCCACGTAAATAACCTGCTCGGTTTCAATAAAATTTGCCACATGTCCTTCGTCGTTTATGCCTGGCCACCAAACGAACAAGCGCAGTCATCATTAGTTACAAGATATTGGATATTGGAAACATTAATGCCCACTTACCTCTCACATTGAAACGAGTACCAGCTCGTTCGCAGCTTAAACGCGATATTATTGCCGCCCTTGCCTGTTTTGCCCCTATGTAAACAGTTCGCACCTCCACCGAACCACACATCACTTTCAAAAGCCAGGACTGGCAATCAATACTAAAACGTAGCATATGTATGTGCATCATACGATTCCAGAAGAAACGGTTATCAGTTTCGCCCGTTTGGAAGCGTCTCTGGGCACACAGTGTTATGTCAAACTTTGTAGCCCTGGTCGCCGACTGATTCGTATGGGCAAAGTAAAACGTTCCAGAGTTAAGTAATTTCCGCACCTCCGAAATCCGATCTTCATTTGGAGCAGCATTTTGTAACGATACAAACTGCGTCTGTTGTATGCGAAACACTTCCACGTCTCCAATCTTACCCATCGAGACACAGCCAGTGACCAGAACTAAAAACAACAGAGTGCTCTCGCCAGCATTCAGCTGAAGCACGCCGAGGCAACCATAGGCATCGCACACTTTTGTGTATTGTTTGCGAATTATCTCCGACTCTTGGGACGACAACAGGGCAACGGCATGTGACTCAAAGAGGATGCTTTCGTTTTTATTGCGATACTCCATCAGAACGCTATGCGGCGATGGAGCTATGGATTTTTCCAAAACCCGAATCACTTTTGACATTGCCATGATGAAAACCAAAGTTTATTTTCAATAGCTGATGCACAAAGCAGATAATAATAAAATTGAAACTTGGCAAGATTGCAATTTCCTTTGTTCGTAATTCGGCAATTGATGCTTTACTTTTTCATCTACAACGAGAAAAATAAGAAAAACAATTGGGATTTGTTTTTTTTTTTCCTTCAGGCATTGCAAGTAATAACAGGAAATGTCAAGGTTTTCATCAAGATGGTTTTGCTAAATCAATAAATTACATCGCTACCCAACTTACTTCAATCGGCATTGCATATCATGCAGAAAATAATTCCTGCACAAAGTTTTTCTCTTATTTTCTTCTTGTTTTGTTACTGCTGATATCGCTCGCCGCGTTGAGAAGTCGAGTTAATGTATACTTTTCAAGAAATGAAAAAATTAAAACTTTGCTTTGCTTTTGAAGACTGACTGAACTGACACCCACAAATTCCCTTTTGTAATTTTTTTATGTATTTAACATCCGATCAAATTTAAAAACGTTCCACATACTACGAACGAATATGAGGGATAGTAGAAAACAGCCGATGGTATATATTTGTTTAGAATGTGCAACTAAAAGAGTGATGAAAAAAGAAAGAGAGAGAGAGAGTGAGAGAAGGGTTGTCAGCAGTGATGAATAGAGTTGGCAGATGGTACCAAGACTATATAATATTGGTAATATTGAAAACCACTTAAATAATATATATGTTTTCATAATCCTAACTTAAATTGTTTCATCTTAAAATACGGATCTAGTGACATTTCTCCGACTGTTTTAAGATGTCCGGCTGTGATTACATTTGCAGTACAAAAGTATTCACTTTACCCCTATGATCCTAAGCCGGAATTCAAAAGAATACATATGTGAATGATTAATTTAAAGACACAACTTTTTCACTTCCTCTCTCTCTACTCCTTTTGATATTCCTATTTGCAGTTACCTATATTTTTTGTATAGAAAATATCTTATAAAGAACACATCAATTGCAATATTCAATCCTTTATTGTTTGTAGACATTCCAATTAAGAAATACGACAGTAAGATTTGTAAAAAAATAAATGGTGATTTCATTTTCATACAACAAACTCAAATTAATAACTTCTCCTTAAAAACGCAATTAGTTTAATTCTGAACTAAGAAGAACCCCTGAACCAATACATAAGATTATAATAATATGAAATAAACATTTTACAATATAGATATAGGTATATAGAAAAATATGGTTATTTATAAATATAACAAAAATGCGGTTATTTTAACTAATCTTTTGGATAAGGAGGACTGCCGTAGAGACGCCGCTTTTTGAGTGTTGATTTTAGAGGTGTTGCTGAAATAAAGGTCAATTAAAAAACATATAAATATTCATATTTAAGAGAATAACTTACCGTATAAAGAATAAATTGATTCCTTATTATTACTGGGGGTTTCCTTTATGTTAGCCGTATTGTGTTTGTTTTCTTTGTCCTCGATCTGAGGCACAAATTGAACCCAAAACACCCTTGGTATTTTTAATAATTGCAACATAACCGTATATTGGGTATAGACTTCGGTAAAGATGGCATGTTGATCTGGATCGGGAGATGAATAGCCCACTATAGTAGGTCCAAATACCCTGGCGATATTGTCCAACGGCATTAAGACTTCACGGCACTCCGCTATACGTTGAAAATGTAAAATTAAGAATGCCAATGTGTCACGATTCGGTTGGGGCAAAGCATCTATAGCCTTGTATAGATCTTTTTGTATATCCTCCTCGGATGGATTTTGTACGGCATTGCAGAAATCTTTCCACAGATTTGTTGGTATTAGAGGCTCTCTCAGAGAGCGAAGAAAATCTTTGATGCAGCCACACAGAACATGGACCTCAATGTTGGCTAATTGAGGCGGAGACTTGCCCCTTAGGAATCGTTCCTTCAATGCCTTGACTTCTCTTTCAGAACCAGATACACGGTATATACCCACTTCGGTGAGACCCCGAGCTTCTATTTCATTGACACAGTGTACAATAAGAGCCGGGACAAATGGCGCCACAGAAGGTGCATAATCGGCAATATGACCCATTAGACCCTTTATGGTGGGCGTACCTGTAGAAGGAACACAAGAAACTGTAACGGAAGGACGGCAATCGGTGTGGCATCTAATTGGACAATCGCGGCAACGTAGGCCAACCGAACCAAAACGAATTCTAAGGGAAGAAAGAGTTAATCAACCAACTGCTCAGCATATCCAAACTTTCTACTTACTTTCTTGAGCAATGTACACAGGTCTCTCCTCTAATAAAAGTTTTGCTCACGAAATTGTGCGAACGTTTTAAAGTTCCTGTCGATTTTATATTCTGTGCCATTGGAGAGTCTGCACTGTTCACCACACCATGAAAATTGTGTTGCTTTAATGGTGATCTGCATGGTGTAGACGATTGAATTTCTTCAACGGGCGAATCTTCCTTGTGTACTATTACAGGAACTGTTTCTATTGTGGACTCGGCACGTATGGCTCCGCTGCCATCTTGTGGTATAGAAACTTTAGTGGTGGCACAAATACGTTCCGAGCCATTGACGACATCGACCAGATGGTGTTGTTGATTATTGTTAGACTTACTACGCCTTGTAGAACGCCTAACGGGTTGCTGCAGAACTGGAGGGGTGTTAGCATTATCATCGCACAAACGAGTTCTTTTATTACCAAAAGCTGCACCATTATTTGCCGCCGAGTGTCTATTTTTATGCCAAGTTCGAGATGGACGATCGTCCAAGAAATCGTCTTCCGACTGTGTTATAGATAGATCCGACAGAAAACTGCCCGTAGAATTAATTTCGTTGCCATATTTTTCCTCTAAGTTGCGGTTAACAGATTTCCGTTTTCGTGGCAAAGTATGCAGAAACCCCAATTTATCTCTGGTCTCGTTTTTTAGATTATTTTCATGTTGCAATAGGTCAGCCACTGCAACCAGCTTTTTCTCCATTTGATCTCGGTCATATTCAGCTTCTTTGCGCGCCTTACTTTCCATTTCCAACAAACGACGGGCATGAAACAATTTTGTCTCCAAATCTGCCATTGATTGCAACGATGCGTCCAATTCCTTTTGTATGCGTTGTGCTTCTTGGGCCCTAGAAAGGCATTCCAGCTGCATTTTCTTCTGCAGCTGTAGAATTTTCAAGAGCTCTTCCTCGGCTGTGCCTTCGGTTAAGACTTGTATGCAGCGACGCAAGTCGTCGAACGTGGCCAATATTGATAAATTGACGGTACTCATTTTATCTAACAAAAAATATTAAATAGTATTGTTCTTGGCGTCTTTCAATGTTTCTGTGAATACATACCATTTATGATTGGGGTATAGTTTTGTATGGTGAAAATATTCAAAATGTTCAAAAAGTCGGAAAAGCTAATTACTAACACACTTCACCAGCTCTCACAGTTATTTTATTTTATCTGATTTTCTTTGTTTTCACATGTACTCAGGCTTGGTTTCCATTTCCATCAGTAGCAGCACATTTAAAATCGAACCAATTCAAACCGCGCGTCATTCAGGGCTTAGTAGGTCGACTTTGGTCTTGTCAGCGTGAAGTACCAACTACCGGTTATTTGCACTTACTATCCGAAGGAAGAATTCGAAGTACACGTGATGAAAAACAAATTTAACATAAATAAAGATAAAAAATCAAAAAATAAGCATTCTCCCTCTTATAATTACTAAATAATAGTACTTTAGCATACATTTTACCCGATACAAATTCATAAAACAATGTATCGATACTATCGATGTTTATACTCCCATGCTGTGGTGGTAAAGAAATCCGCCGCCGTCGCAACTTTTTCAAATATTTTTTTTACAGCTATTGTACTTATTCGATTTATTGGTGTGTGTATTGGGAAAAGAAGTAGGGCGAAACCATTTAAACATACATATAAAATATTAAATTAATATTTTATATATTTTCTTCTTTGAAATTTCGCTGACGCCGAAACAAATTATTAGGCCCCGCCGTCGATTGTTTTACATCCGACCATCGCCGCCGCTGAGACAATCGTTACGCTTCGTTGTATCTTGTATACTCACAATTTCTTTATTTATAAAGCATAGATTTCAGTAGTCTTTCTTCCCTTATTTTCTTGTTTTATTTTACGTTGGTTCCTTTGTATTCCTTCCTTTCACGAAAAAAAAAATAATGCCCTTAAAAACGAGACGGAAAGTACCCGAACGAATAGGGATACGTTAGTCGACTTTTGACTAATCGACTTTTGGGTGCGAAATAGAACTGGCAAACTATCGATATGCACAACATTCGATATTTTTGACAATAATCTCCATCGTTTACTTGGCGTAAACCATCGATATAAAATAAATCGGTGCGCTTCGTTGTATCTTGTATACTATAATTTCTTTATTTATAAAAAAAAATAATTTTACAGAGTTTAGTCGTTGTTTGGCTAAAGAATTTTCGGGTGATTTGTTATGGATTTTGTGCAAGTAGTCGAAGAAGATGGAGAAGAGCCCATAGAATTGCCCATAGAGCCGGATAAAAACTTGCTCTTGTCAACACTGCAATCAACATTTCCAGGTGCAAGCGGCCTGAAGTTTCTTAATGAAGAAACCAAATGTTTTCGTGGGATTCGTTTGAACGATGGCAAATTATATCCGCCAAGTGAAAGTGGTTGGGGCAATCATGTCTATCATTGTGTCTTTCCCAAAGGTGAGGAAAATGAGTTTCTCATCGCCGGATTTTGGTGAACAATAGATCACTCTTTTGTTTTTCAGAAAACAAGCGTAAAAGCGATGACCAATTGGAAAACTCCACAGCCAAAACAAAACGTATGGAATCACGGGCACGTTGTACCGATTTAATTGTCCTTGGCTTACCTTGGAAAACTACGGAAGAAAGTCTTCGGGCATATTTTGAGACGTTTGGAGAGGTTCTAATGGCACAGATAAAAAAGGATGTGCATTCAGGTCAATCGAAAGGATTTGGTTTTGTGCGGTTCGGTTCATATGATGTACAGGCAAGAGTTCTGTCTAATAGGCATTCAATTGACGGGCGCTGGTGTGAAGTGAAAGTTCCAAATTCCAAGGTAAACATAAAATATAACAAAATTTCTTAATCAGTTCTCATGACATGTTTCTATTTAGGGTGCGCCAAATCAAATTCCTTGCAAAGTTTTTGTTGGTCGTTGTACAGAGGACATTACGGCAGAGGACTTGAAAGAGTATTTTTCCAAGTTTGGCGAAGTTACAGATGTGTTTATACCCAGACCTTTCAGAGCATTTAGTTTCGTTACATTTTTGGATCCAGAAGTTGCGGCGTCTTTGTGCGGAGAGGATCACATAGTGAAAGGTAGTTATTATTTTTTTATTAGGGAAGGAAAATTAATTAAACCTTTTTTTAGGAGTGTCATTACATGTTTCAAGTGCTGCTCCTAAATATGAACACCATCGAAATTCTTATCATAATGCTAATAATGGCGGAAGAAATTCTCATCATAATAGTCATAACGAGAATCCACATGGTGGCCTCTTCAAATCAAAAGGTCCTACAATGCACAACAGTAGCGGAAATTATTATGCCAATACAGCTCCTCCACCTAACGAAGGAGGTTCAGCAATGTTAGGTGGAGGTAACAATACAGGTGGGGCGCCTGTTAATCGGGAAAATACTTATCCTCGAGGTAATCGAGGAAACTACATGATGACACAACAACCGCCAGCGGCAAACACAAATAACAGCAGCAGTAATTTCAATAGCAGTCAAAACCGACCCCTGGACATGCATATGCAGACATTGGGCATCAACCCCCCTCCAGGCCCTAATTCCACTCAAAATATGGGTATGGGTCTTAATCTCAACTCCTTGCCCATGAACACGGCAATATTGGCTGCTGCTCTAAATCAGTTCGGTTTATTGGGAAATCCGGAACAGGTAGATGCATAATTTACCAATTATATCATATGTCCTTTTGATTATCTCTCTCTCTCTCTTCTCAAAACAGAGTGGCAACTTCCTTTCTTGGATGGCTCATTCTAGCAATTCAAATAACATGCTCGCAAACAATCCGGGGAATAGGGGACCAAATAGCGTCAATTCCGGTGCAAATACAGCGAACCAGCCTACAGAAGCAACAAACTGTAATAATACTGTACAAGTAATTTTGTAATGCATCCCACTTGAATTGGTCTTTTCATTTGTCTTTTTTACCCAGAATCCACCATCCCAGCCGAACAATGGAAAATATGGAATGTGGTCTCCAAAATGACTGTAACATTTTAGGTATTCAAATATAGTCATTAAAATGTCGATCGCCGGAAAGGGAACTCTATGCAAAATTGATGCCAGCAGAAACCAGTTGATATCTGTGGCGAAAGCAATTATGTCGACATGCTAATTAGAATATTAAGAAAGTAATTTTCGTTTTAAAGTTGAGCGTATGTAAACTATATACACACACATATATATTCATAGTCATCTTATGATAAACCCTATTAATGTTTGAGTATAAAAACAGACACCAACTTGACAAGAATATATTTAAAAATCTAATAAAATAACTCAAAATTTAATTAAAACAACTCCCAATTGATGGAAATATTCTACGGATAATTAGAGTCGACTATACATGATTCGTGATCATTGTCTACCCATTCCTATTTGTTGAAGTGATTCGTATTGCCTTGAACTATGAAACAATACCTCGAAACCTACCGAAACTTATTCTCGCACAAAAATTCACTCGAGATCGAATGTCGATCTGCCCCGATGTCAGATACTACACCATGGTGTAGTACATTTGTTTAATAGTCAATCAAAACAATTTTGTTTTATAAGTCAATCCATAATTTTGCTGCCCTTTTTGAGCATTTTTGGCGACATCACTTTCATTTTTATTTAAATAAAAAAAAACAGCTCAGTTGTTGGATCTTTTTTATACCCTATGGACACTTAAAAATGAATACAATTATGGAGCATTACAGAAGAGCTTTATTCTTAGATCGTATCTGTAGTTTCTAAATCCAAGTCAAAACAAATCCGAAGGGGTTTCTATTCCCATTTGAAATATAAAAGCACAAAAGTTCTATGTGAAAAAAGTTTATTTTCCATGTTTATATTACGCTTGTAAAGGTAATAAAAACTATGACTTAACAATACGCCACTTATTTCTTGCTATTCAGAATGATACCATCGTATTTCTGTTGGAACCACTTCATGGCATCTTCTTTGGTGAGGCGATGAGGGAAACCAACTGTGCCGGCCTTGCGCTTTCTGTGGGCAACGTTGTAACCTAGAAACAGAAGAAAATAATTCGTTAATACCAATATTGTCAAATTAATTGATGTCAAAGAAAACAAATTAAAATCGTTTTTTATTTCGTTGGATAACTTGTGGAAAGAAACACCGTGCACATTCAAACATGATATGTTTGTATACACATTGAGCGCCTCTGCCTTACAATGTAATTTTTATGCGCACATTGACTGAGTGTTTACAGAATGGATATATTCCACAATAAAGTGAATATTTTGAAAACACCTAATTAAGTGCGGGTTGTAATCACAATTGTTTGTTTTTTTTTTTCAAAATGTGGATATTATACCTGGGCGACCGAGCACAACGTAGAAATCCAAACCATAAATACCGATGGATGGATCGTATTTGATGCCCAAATCAATGTGTTCCTGAATACCGAAACCGAAGTTGCCGGTGGCGGAGAAATTGTCACGTCTCAACTCGTATTCACGAACCTTAAGGCCCTTTTCCAAGATTTCTTCAGCCTTGGCACCGCGGACTGTGCAGTGGACGGCAATCTTTTCATTACGACGAATACCGAATGAACGCACGGTGTAACGGGCTTTGGAGAAAACGGGCTGTTGGCCAGTCAATTGTTCAAGCACCTACAAAAAATTAAAACACATTTATTTAGAAACGCCACACACATGCATTGAACAACAACACTATCATACCTTAGCGGCACGGGTCAATCTATCACCAGATTCACCGACACAAATATTCAAGCACAACTTTCTGATGTGCAGATCGCGCATAGGGTTCTTAGCGGGATCTCTCTTGATCTTCTTTCCACTGTCTTTAGCGGCCTACAAAACACAGAAATTATGTCACATATTTTAAATCAATTCCATATTCAGCAAATTTTAACTTAAAAAAATAAAGCACAACACGCACCGTCATATTGAAATCGGAAAAGGAAAAGAAAGAAAATCTTTACCACGCCAGTTACTGTTCAGCTATCTGTCAAATAGTCAATTATTCTTCAGTGGAATGTCAAATGGAAACAAATGTGGCCACATTTTATTGAGTGATTTTTTGGCATGAAATGTCGTACAACATGTTTGTTAGTCCCTTTGTTTCATACAGTTAAGGCCACATTTACAAAGAAGATATCAATATTTTGTATATTTAAGCTTAAATTAATATTGATTGGGGATTTAATATCATTAGATTTTTAATAAAAACATGTTGAATGCTATTTCTTTTGTTTTGACATTGTGATATTTTTACCTCTTCCGGCGTATAGATATTTGAATGAATTATTATTTATTAACAATATAGTATAGATATAAACTGCAATAAGTCCCAGTCCACACACGGATAATTTAATGAAATAAATGATATGTATTATTAGGCGAAGAAGTCGATGCTTCATGACATTTATTTCAAGCAATTAGTTGTGTGTGGAACCCATGGTACAAGAATATAGGTAGACGCATCGACACAGCTACTCGCACAATGTACTGTCAAACAAAGTTTGAAATTGAAATTGTTGAATGAAAATAATCTCCGAATGATGTCGTATAAGAAAACATATAAAAATCTACTTTTATTTGAAAATACACTTAATTTTTTTATTATAATTAAGGTCGAATATAACGGCCATCTCCTACATATCCATATTAGATTGGATTTTTATTTAACTTTACCTTATATCATGGTAAAATTAATGAAAATAATCTCCGAATGATGTCGTATAAGAAAACATATAAAAATCTACTTATATTTGAAAACACATTTAATTTTTTTATTTAAATGAAGGTCAGATATAACGGCCATCTTCTACATATCCATATTAGATTAGATTTTTATTTAACTTTACCTTATATCATGGTAAAATTAAGAAGGTAAAATGTATGAGATAATTAGTTTAAATTGTTTTTTCAAAATGTCTAATTTGACTGTATTCCATTGTCAAATGATATAA